TCAGGAACTGATCAGGAAGATTGCCGACGACCCTGAGGCCCGGGGAATTGTGCTGTTGAACTACCCCTTTGCCTCTCTTTTTGATGTTGCTCTGAACCTAGCCAGGAATTGACAAAAGCGATGAAAGAAATGGCCGCAGGAATGCCAGAGGAGGCGTGGGCGGACAAGTCAGGTTTACGGATCCCTTCAATGCGAGTGAAGTGTGACGCAGGCCTGCAAGCAGCAATGAGGCGGTGAGACTTATTCCCATCCCGCCTCGAGCTGACGTGCGAAAACGGAATCTGTTTTCCTGAATCCAGTGTCACAGTTTGTTACAGCTTTCCCGAAGCCATTCCCACACATGTTCTCGACATGAAATTGTTGACTCCACGTTAAACTACTGTAGCACTGTGCAGTACCTGAAAGATGCAGATCTGAACGTAGCCGCGAGCTACCTTTTCCTTGTGGGCTGTTTGTGGGCTTGAACTGCGCTTGGGCCATGGAGCTCTTTCGCGTGCCCACTCTTGCAGTGACTGCGGCGATTTCGCTGCTGATCTACCTCATGCACCACAAGAGGACAGCACTGCCTGAAAAAGCTCAGCGCAGGAGCCAGCGGAGTCAGCCGCGCCGGACGAGCCAGCCGGGTGTGGTGGAATCGATTTGGACCTGCCCTGGAACGTCCCAGGCCATGGAGCGGCAAGGTTCAGTGGAGTGCGTGGCCGGGAAGGGCATCGTCGGCGACCGTTACAACACGGACGTAACCAGGGGTCGTTATAGCAACACCCCGGAGCCTGGAAGACAGATGACGCTCATTGCGGCCGAGGGCATGGAGCTCTTGGCAGACAAGTACCATCTCAAGATCGGCCCCCAAAACTGCCGCCGGAATGTGGTGGTTCGCGGCCTGCACCCACTTTCGGAGCTGGTGGGCCGAGAGTTTCGGCTTGGAGACATTCGGGTCTTTGCGCATCGGACCTCGGTTCCATGCATGTACCTCGAGGGCCTGACAAAGCAGAAAGGCCTTTTTCAAGAGTTTTACTGTGATGCGGGACTGAATTGCGAGATACTTGAAGATGGAACGCTTTGCGATGGTGCTTCTGTCGAGCTCTTGCCGGGGGAACCAGACCTCGACCGCTGCGTGGTGGGCCGCGCCTGGATCCTCCCTGCGCTATTCGTGCGGCCCCGGGAACGGAGCGCAGCAGAGCGTCAGCAGGTGCTTGACCTTCGCAAAGCTTTGGAGGCGGAGCATGTTTCGGCGACAGGCACGGACAAGACATCTACACTCAAGAAACTGCGGCTCTTTGATCAGACACATGGGCGCAAGAATGGGGCTTGGGATGGCGGCAGTCCCCAGTACTAGGCTGAGCCAGGGAGAAGTGGACCTCTGGAGATAGTGAATTTTGGCAGGGCGCACAGTCGGCAGTCTCAACCACGAGGTGGCCCCCTGGTTGTGTGTTCCAGTTTCCAGATTGAAGCAGCGATGAGTTCATCCAGCTTTATTGTATCATTTTGTGGGTTTGTGGGCCTCTTTGAGGTTGAGGCTTGCAGTCTCAATCAGCTCTCATGTGCAGATCATGCGTTCTATTATTGATGGATTTGGCGTTGGGTCCGATGGGGGGGAGCACAGAGTCTGTACAGTGCAGCTCTCACTTGAGGATGCAAAGCACTATCAATAACTTTGTCAAGCAAGTCCGGTCCATGACACTCCAAAATCTCAGCCCCATGCATAGAGTTTAGTATGTGTTGAAAGGCGTTCTACATTGTGTATGTTTTGAGAATAGCTCTTCTGAGGTTCAATCGATAATACTAAATGGCTTCATATTCTAAAGATCATTTATCTATATTTATAACATCCGACAGATTAGAATATATTTCGAGAAATCAGATAAAGACGACTCATAGATAGGACTTGATAACACGCTCCGCAAATTGAAATTTAATCTTGGCCGATTTTTGATTCGATTCTCGATGACTTTCTATGATGAAATAATAAGAGGGCAATAGAAATATATGATAATCGAATTTTAATAGAAAAATGATAAGAAGGAAAAATAAAAATAATGATGTTTAAAGATAAAGATTTTTGTCTAAGATTATTGTTTAATTCTAGATTTTATTTTATTTAATAATGTTAACTAGAAAAATAGAGTTTTATATAAAATAATTTGATTATAGATTTAGTATGGAAGATTTATATACGAATATTATAAGAATAAAGGTACCCTTAATTATAATGAATTGGTAATAAATAATTCGATAAGAATAATTGAAATTATATGATTATTTATTTTTTTCTTTAGTCAGAATTTTTTATTTAAAATAAATTTTAAAATAGAAATTATTAAATAAATATATTTTATTATGATT